TTGTGCTTTTATTGCGCTGCAGCGAGGTGTACGCGCAAAATTTGACATATGTGACTCTAGGAGATCGATGTACAAACGGGTTACAACCAAAGATTGCGTGCTTCTTGGTTTTTTCCCCTCTTTTATTCATTTTTGCAGTTTCTGTCGGCACAGCTGCGGCTCATTGAGAATAATGTCGCTTGGAAAAGGTTTTACAAATATTTGTCACGTTTTAAAAATATAAATGTTTTCAAAATGAAGTAATAATTTCGTAAAAAAAAAGAGAGAACAAAAAGTACCTATACGTATATAAGGTGTATTGTACATCGAATATTTGAAGGATAGAAATAAAACCAAATATTCACCAATGACAATTGAAAAAGATGATTCAAAAGGAGAAAGTAATGACAGTTCATTTAGAAAATGAGCAACTATAACAACACCTCCTTCTCTCTCAATTTCTCATTTCCATATTGTCAATATAATTTTACATACCGACTAAAATATAACGCTTGGACCAAGTCACTGTTGCTTATTTTACGTGTGGGCGTAAACTACTGGACGAAATAGGTGCGCAGACAAAAAATCGTTGACAAAATGTCCTGAAACCCCGCGGTGGTGATACCCTTCTTTTCTTCCACCTTCCCTCCATCAGTTCCATCAGAGTTTCACTTTGAGTAACCAGTGCTAATGTGTGTCTCCCTGACTGATAAAACCAAGGTGGAAGAAACCAAGGGTGTCACTACCGCGAAGGATGACGTAAAAAACCAGACTTTTCAAAGGGCGAGATCTCGGTTAATATTGAATCTAGAGAGTTGCGGTTTGGACAGATCTTAGTATTTTTAGCTAATCTATAAGGACAAGCATCAAAACACAATGGAGATGTTGCATGTGTGAGGAATTTGCGATTTGACTGTTGATTCTTATGTAAAAGCTCGTGAGAAACCCGATGGTGCTACTGGTTTTCTCTGAAATTAACTCCAAAGCTCAAAAAAAAAGCTCTCAAGTTGAGGCCAAAATGGAGGGGATTTCCCACCCTACCCTGAGAGTCCACGTCTACATCAAGACAAACTCTCCATGCAGAGATAGGGAGCAAATACATTAGCAGGGTTACCGTGTTTTCAGTTTTGGAGTCCCCAAATAAAGTGGAGTGGCAGCCCTGTCAATGTATTTGCTCCCTATCTTTGCATGGAGAGTTTTTTTTATGTAGAGGTGGACTCTCTAGTGGGGCCGATAAGTGGAAAATATCATAACAATCGTGCACTTCTGGAAGAAAGCATGAAAATTTCAGGGATTCATCTCTACCCTATAGACTTTCGATTTAGACATAGACCCCAAAAATCTGAGTCCCCTGGGGGGGCAGGGGGGCCCCCAAATTTAGAATTTCGTATAACTACTGAACGGCTAATGTTAGCGTAATTTTTTTACAGCAGGACGATGGGAAATTTTAATAGGAACAAAACGGTTCTCATAAATTTTTCTGTGGGATCGATATTTAAGGCGTGAAACGGGAAAAACCATCGGGGGACGGGGAGCCGGCCGTTCTGAGGCAGATCCGCGCGCTGCGCTGCCTGCCCGGGACGCGAGCGGCGGCGGAGTACGGTGTTCCCGATGAAACAGCCGCTTGTCTCGGTTTAATCTCAACGGTGCGCAGTTTTAAAAATAATTATGAATGTACTGTACTGCCTAAGTACTTTTCCATAGTGATATAAGCCCTCTTTTTTATTAGTAACACATAAAAACAAGCAAAAGGCGAAATACTCCAATGCGAAAGCGCCGAGTCAATGAGAGAGGCCGGTCATCGCGCGTCTTGTTTTCTCTGAATACAGAGCTTTTCCGATCTAAGTACAGAGTGTATTACCCTTTCCTCACGTAAGTTTTGTAAAGGATTATATTTCAAGATATTAGAGCGAAATAACAAGTTTTAATATACGATTTTGACCCACTTTTTAATGACTATTGGAAATGGCGGATCCTTGATAACTTATTTTTAGTTTATTTTCCACGTTACTTTCGGCTGCTTACATAAGCAAGAATTTTGCAAAACTTGATGCTAAGACATTACTTGAGGAGTAAAGAGGGGGGCTTCACATTCCCTTCGCCACCAAGGTTTCCAGATTTCCTTCATTTCCCTCCAATATCGTTTTTCGTTTATGTTCATCGGTTTCTCGCAATTGCACAGGTTACATACGAAACATTCCGACAATGTTCTTTTCTCCTCTTTTTTCCTCCGGCCAGCCAATAGAAGTTTTCATTTTCATGAACTCCCCACTCTTTCAGTTATTCAACAAATATGCATATTTCAAAAAATAGAACAATATATTATAATTAATAATAAAATAGTGTATTTCCTTCGGAAAATACACTAAAAGAAGATATCTGAATCCTATCGCTTCTTTTTATCGAGTCACCCTTGAAGATATTATTGGTACTTTCCACGAGACATAAAAAATGGAATGAGTAGTAAAAAAATCCATGTATATTATCTTTCATTTTGTTCTACGGAGTTTGGAGTGGAGTTGGTAAAATTTGTATTGAAAAAAATATTAATGTAGGAGGACATTTATTTATCATGCAGGTTCTGAGCCTTTAAAGAACTTTGAGAAGGACCAGTACGTCAGGAAGAAATTCATCGCATTTCTTCTTTTTCAACCCACCAAATCTCGTACCGATTTTTTATTTGTAAGTATGTCGGAGAAAATTTTCAAGAAACGGGACTTGCAAAATATGCAGTGCACAAAACGTACAGACGTACACCTTAAACTTTATCGTACAGTATGACACTGATCGAATTAGGTTTAGAGATTATCAAAAGGTTAATTTCTCGTCAAAATATCAACAAATCAGTCAAAATCAGTAATCAGTAATCAGTTGCAAAATTACCGAGATTGCGGGATATCGAATGATGCGCGATTTAATTGATGACATAAGAACAGGATAGTTCCCAGTAGGCGCGACTTCCTATCACTCAAATGGACCGTTTTTGCAGATTAGCGGATATTGGCGGCTATTTATTACGTAATAATATTCTTTGTACTGTACAGGAAGCAGTCCAACAAATGTTTTTTGAGGGTCTTTTATCCCTATCAAGCTTTCTCAAGATTCTTTTGGCGTTTTTTCGGAGCAAGTTTTGAAGGTGGTTTTGGTCCTCTTAAAAAATGCCTACTTATACGTAGCAATGATGTACCAATATGTTCCTTAAAGAGAGGAGAATAAGCATGTTTTTAAGTATACTCATTTTTTACAAAATTAGTTTCCTTGTCTTAAAAGTCTGGCTGGAAGCCGTCTCCCGGGAACTTTAGGGTATGTAAGCATATTTAGATATCATTCTGGTGGCGCAGCACCGAATAAAGAAGGGAGAGAAAAAAAAGCACTTTAAAATAATTTTTCAGGTCATCGAGGTTAACAAAAAAGATATGTGATTTTTAGTCCCACCCCTCCTCTTCGCGAGGCAACTGTGCGTCAGATTTTATTCCGTTCAACTGATGTCTGATACAGTTATCTCGGATGCTTTAATAAAAATTGACAAACCCGTACAACAAAACATCCCCGAACTCCAGCACTTAGCCCCTTCTCCTTCTTCTTCTTTTGCCGTGCGCTCAATTGTATACATATATTACCTGCAAAAATTAAGCCCTATTTTAAGGCTTTATAGGTAGTACAATTTATTTATAATATTTTTAAAATTGCGCACCGTTGAGATTAAACCGAGACAAGCGGCTATTCCGTCGGGAACACCGTACTCCGCCGCCGCGCGCGTCCCGGGCAGGCAGCGCAGCGCGCGGATCTGCCTCAGAAAGGCCGGCTCCCCGTCCCCCGATGGTTTTTCCCGTTTCACGCCTTAAATATCGATCCCACGGAAAAATTCATGAGAACCGTTTTTGTTCCTAATAAAATTTCCCATCGTCCTGCTGTAAAAAAATTACGCTAACATTAGCCGTTCAGTAGTTATACGAAATTCTAAATTTGGGGCCCCCCTGCCCCCCCCAGGGGGCTCAGATTTTTGGGGTCTATGTCTAAATCGAAAGTCTATAGGGTAGAGATGAATCCCTGAAATTTTCATGCTTTCTTCCAGAAGTGCACGATTGTTACGCTTATCGGCCCCACTACTCAGGGTAGGGTGGAATATCCCCTTCATTTTGGCCTCAACTTGAGAGCTTTTTTTAAGCTTTGAAGTTGATTTCAGACTAAAACCAGTTTCACCATCGTGTTTCTCGCGAACTTTTATGTAAGAATCAACAGTCAAATCGCAAATTCCTCACACATGCAACATCTCCATTCTGTGACCAGCGCAACTGATCCATTTCATGAAATGACCCCTAACACATTTTTCCGTGTAAAATTTCAACCCCTTCCCTACCAGGATATCATTCGCACAAGAATACATTTTTCCTGCCTCTAAGAGTCTGTTTGGATTTGGCTAGATATTTATAGATATGTGTGGGCACTCACAAGCATCAAAACACAATTCTGTGACCAGCGCAACTAACACATTTCAGGAAATGACCCCAAACACATTTTTCCGTGTAAAATTTCAACCCCTTCCCTACCAGGATATCATTCGCACATGAATACATTTTCCCTGCCTCTCAGATTGTGTTTGGATTTGGGTAGATATTTATAGATATATGTGGGCACTCACAAGCATGAAAACACAATTCTGTGACCAGCGCAACTAACACATTTCAGGAAATGACCCCAAACACATTTTTCCGAGTAAAATTTCAACCCCTTCCCTACCAGGATATTATTGGCACATAAATATATTTTTCTTCCTCTAAGATTCTGTTTGGATTTGGCTAGGTATTTATAGATATGTGTGGGCACTCACAAGCATCAAAACACAATTCTGTGACCAGCGCAACTGACCCATTTCAGGAAAAAACCCCTAACACATTTTTCCGTGTAAAATTTCAACTCCTTCCCTACCAGGATATTATTCGGACATGAATACATTTTTGCTCCCTCCAAGATTCTGTTCGGATTTGGCTAGATATTTATAGATGTGTGTGGGCACTCACTGGGAGACGGGCTGTAGGTCGTAATAGACATTCTGCTCGGCGGGGGCTCCGGCGGTGCCGGCGGCGGCGGGGTGCGGGGAGCTCTCCGAGGGGGTGCCGGGGTGCTGCTGCTGCTTGAGCTGATCGAGGGAGAGGTACGGGGGCGGGGGCTCGTCCTCGCACTCGCACGTCTGCAGGTGCCGCGTGTACGAGGAGATATCCTGCGAGAAGAAGTTCCGCGCCACCATCCCGCACCACCGATCATCACCCGCGACTCGCCAGGCTAGTCCCACGCTCGCTCGGCTAGTCCCGCGCGCGTCCCATTCACGCCACTCCTCAGCTCAGGCCCGAGCTCGTCTCAGTCGAGTCGCCTCATCTCTATCAACAAGCAAACCAGAATAAAAGTCACAAACCAGAACCAAAGTCACAAACCAGAGCCAAAGTTATAGAACAGAACTAAAGTCACAAACCAGAACCAAAGTCACAAACCCTATTTCACACACCACAGAAATGCCCGATTCTTAGTTCGAATTGATAGCATTAAATTTGCTTTCAACTACCAGCTCTTCTCCACTAAAGACAAATACACGGAGAAAAAAAACTTCGTGCGTGGGACCCGAAGTTTAGGTCATATGGATCTCTGAAGTTTTCGGATTGAGCATCTGAACACTTTAGATCCAGCTGCTGAGGTTTGGATCACACATTTAAAACTTCAGTTCTTACATCTGAAGTACTTCGGTTTTTACATCCGAACAACTTCGGTTCTCACATCTGAAATACTTCAGATGTAAGAACTAGAGTTTCAGATGTGTGATCCGAACTTCGACAGCTAGACCTAAAGTGTTCAGATGCTCAATCCGCAAACTTCAGAGATCCATATAACCTAAACCTCGGGTCCCACGCACGAGGTTTTTTTCTCCGTGTAGAATTCTGCATAGAGAGAGTTTGAACAACTATAGGTACTCTAGATGGAAGCTTCAAGTTTCGGGACTCCAACATTCAGCTTCTGACCTTGAGTTGGACACATGGATCAGATCTTGAGATTGTCAATGAATTCTGTGCAGAACTGGCGGAGAAATCAAATAAATTAGTGTCACTTAAAGAATCTTAATTTGTGCGTGAAGAAGAGCCTTATGGTTGGATTTATCAGATTGGATTATAACAACTAGTTGTGGTTCTGGACCATAACTCTTTTCGGTTTTCTTGTAGTTTCATTTAAGAATTTTCCGTCGTAAAATGTACGTCGTAGATGCTGAGAATTGTACAAGGCTCAACCGTGAGCTCACATGATCTGGACTACATTTTGCAATCAGGAATCGCTATTTCTGGGTTATCGACAGGAGCACATACCTCGATAAGGAAACTTATAGCACATATGTTGTTTCTGAAATGAATCAGGAATAGTAGTTCCCAACTGCTAAATATAATCCGTCTTATCTCATGATTTCAACGGTCAAAAATTGGCCGAATCTGCTCGTCCTACTTTTCTATCGTTGCGTTTAAGTCTCTGAAGCTACGCGAGAGCTCTGTATGATTACCAATAAATGAGATGGCGTGCCTTCAAAACGGAAGCAATGCAGTCATGTGAGTGTTAAAATCTGCAAAAATGGACAATTTGATGCAGAAAAAAGATTAACATTATTTCCATTGTACTGTTCAACGATGTATAGTTAATTCGACGCTATTGACGCAACGCTCATTAGATTTATTTTTGGAATGCAGTGTTACCATGTCATGTGGAAAAAGTGAACATTTGTCAAAATACCGAGAGACATCAGTCAACCAAATTTCAATATGAACCGAAGTTTTAATTTTTTTTCTCATAATTATTATAGGCAAAAAGTGCATCAATTTGTTCATTAAAATCAATGAATTTGTATTGCATACATCATTATATCTATAAAACAATTGGCCTATACCTTGACCGTTTTTCTGGTTGACAATCACGTATAGTGTTGATTCCCGGACTAACTTCTGCTCCTCATGCACTGGAAAAAAACACATTGGATCTAGAGTCCAGACTCTTAAAAACATCGACAAGAAAAAGTACTCTTGATTCAATCAGATTCAGCTTAAATCAAGAACCAAGCCTCTTAATTTAAGCGGATTTTGTTTTGATTCAAGCAAAAATCCGATTGAATCAAGAGTATTTTTTCTTGTCAATTTTTTCAAGAGTCTGGACTCTAAATCCAATGTGTTTTTTTTTCAGTGTGAGATATAGACAGTCAACATTATTGCCCGAAAATATCCATGCATGCGCGACCACACTGCATTCCCGTTTTTTACCGCTAACTTCAAGTTATCTCCGTTTCGCTAAATTAGCTCGTCCGCAGTGGCGAGGCGTGAATGATCGATTACTGATGTATTCCCATTTGAAGCTATAGTAAAGAATCGATCATGGAGGTGTTCGTTGCGAACACCCTGTTTATCGATCTTTTTCTATAGGTTTAAATGGTAGATCAATCGATATATCGCAAAGGACGTTACGCCACTGATTATCCGCCCGAGTGTGATGCGCGTGGAAAGACAACCCGAGAGAAATTTTGACACGTTCCAAAACTCAGTTCCAGTTGAATTCGTCATCAAGAACGAGCCTGGGTGAGTCTTAGTACGGAATTTTAGGTAGAGAGAGAGAGTGTGTGGTTAACACTAGAGACACAGACACATGTATATGGTTTTTAAAACAAAACTGTCCAAAAATAACGATTAGTGCGTCATGAAAGTCTGAGACACATTCTTAAACGTACAATTTGCGGAGTTCATATCACCCATTTTTAAGTTTCTTGCATCCGAGAGCACTTTTTTCCTCGTCCGCGAGAAACAAGTTTTCCAATAGACAATAAGCGTAAAAAAAACTTACAAAAATATGTACAAATGACATCGGTCAACAGTTTATTTTCTCAGATTTACCAAAAAGTTGCCCAAAAATATGAGTAAATTTTTAGTGTTGATTCTGTAAATGACATCCGCGAAGAATCCCGCAATTTCCCACAAAATCGACCTTATCCGAGGAAAGTTGATTTTTCGAAAAATCTTCGCAAGATATAGAAATACCACGGTCATTTTCAAACTCAGCAGCCGTTTTTGGCTGCTGTAATTGAATAAACACACACGGGAAATTATGTACTGCATGCCTTTTGAAGTGTCCACTCTGTTCCTAATATCCACCGTGTAAAGCCCATTCAATGGACCACTAGACAAGGTACGAATTTAAGCGATCTGATACATGTCTCTTAACCAGAATTTCACGCAGAAAACGATTCACACAACGAAAATTACGGAAACCAACTCCTAACGAAGATATTAACGTTTTTATTTCACATTGGTTACGAGGAATTTGAACTGCCCGCTCACAAGAAACTCAAAACTCTACGTGAGTCAAATCGCCCACTACAACGGTTTCAGCAAGCTTCTCAATCGAGCAATGTTCATTTCCCATCATGTGTTGTTCAAACTATTAGCAATTTGCTATAACTGAGCTAAAGCGTCAAGATTGAGGTTGCCAGATTTTTATATCGCAGAGACTGTCATGATAACGTTTAGCGCGCGATGTGAATCACGTAGAGCATTGAGTTTTCATGAGCGGGTGGTTTGAATTCACGCATTAAGAATCATTAAATATCTTCGTAAGGAGTTAATTTCGGTAATTTTCGTTGTGTGCATCGTGTTATACGTAAAATTTTGGTTAAGAAACATGTATCAGAATGCTGAAATTCGTACCTTATCTAGTGGTCCATTGTTCCGCGTCGAAAAGCAGTGGCGAGGCCCGAACGATCGATTATCTATGTTTCTCCATTTGAAGCTGTGGTAAAGAATCGATTATGAAGGTGTTCGTTGCGAAGACCCTGTTTATCGATCCTCTTCCATAGGTGTTATAGGGCAGATCAATCGATAAATCGCAATTCACGCCACGCCACTGGTTTCATTTTTAAGAGTCATGTCATACTTTTTGGGAGCATTTGGCGCAATGACTACAGACACCTGTGGATTCTGAAGACTGCCTAAGTGAATAAGAATAAATCCATCGGATGTTCAATTTTTAAATAGCGATTGTGCCAACATTTTTTTCAATTAAAAACGTACCGTGACAAGGTTGAATTTTTAACCGTCGCATGAAAAGTCAATGCAAACAGTGTATAAAATAAAGTCAAATTTTAAATCGCGTCAAGAAAATGCATTTGACTTAAACCGAGCGAACTCCATGAATTAAAAAGAAGGATTCTAAGGACAAGGTTGAGGGACAATTGTTGACCTAAAAATTTTGAATTTTAAATCATAAAGTAACGATTAGACGCAAACATTTGCATGAGACCATGTGTATATTATGAAACCACCAACCGCCATGCCTCTGTCAAAAAGGATGGAGAAAAAAACTTTCTCAGGTGTCGAATGGGCTTAAATCAACCTCTTTTTTGCTACTGAAGTCAAAAATAGCCTTATAGTTTTTCCAGCACCTGCTAGATTCTCAGACAATCGACTTGTCAAAAAGGACGTCCTCCAGCTTTAAAAAACCATTTCATTTTGTAAGCTTGATATTCCAAAGATTTTGTGAGAAAACTTAGGTTATTTTCTGCTTTAGCGGGAAAAATTAGTTGAGACTCGTAATCATATTGAAACCTATGAGTTTTTCCCACCCCCTCCTTTCTGATGCAAAACAATCGGGTGAGCTTTGCACGTGGTTAAGCGGAGGAGAGCATTTGGCTGAAAATGAAAAATAGATTTACTCTAAAACTTATCAGCTTTTACCCCTGTGCGATATATGTATGTATATTTTCGAGGTACATTTTCGATATATTTACATCATGCTTTAAGATGGCACTTTCAACACAGGACAACGCTCGGTATGCAGAGGTATTCCGTTCTGGCCTTACGGGCTCCTGAGCATGATGATATTTTAAAATCAAACTTTAATGTGCCATTCTAAAAAATATCATCGCTGAAAAGTATATTTGTCTATATTTTTACACACAACTGTAGGAAAAAATGTTATAACATCTTATTAGTGATCAGGGGATGCTTTTTTCCCAGCAGGTTGGGGAAATAAGATGTAGACAAAAAGAATCAAATCCCTCCGAATTATAATATCATATGGCGAGGCGTCTACACAGGCATAATCACCCTATCACATATCTCCATCACAAAACGCATGGGAAGAAACATAGGAAGACCGAAAAATTGACCTTTTAGCCCTGCTAGTCTTGAAATTGCCGCGCAGGAATCCGCACAAACGTTCTCTTGTTAAAAATTAAACTGCCCAATTGAATTCAGCAATAGCTGATGTAGTTTAGTACCTTTCTGCTAAACGCGGTCCATTTAGGAATGACCATTTCATTTGAATATTAGGCATTGGCCACTACCCAGTTAACTATACCACAATGCATCAGAGCCGGATTAAGGGCGTGGCCACATGGGCCGTGGCCCATGGCGGCAAATTTAGGGGGGGGCAAATTTTGCAATTTTTTTTAATGTAGGTATAAAAAAAACCGGATTCAGAAAAAAAATATATCAATGAGAAAAGGGGACAAAATCTCTCTTTCCTGAGAGTATAGTAATTTCTAATTTTGTCGTTTTCCGGTGATACAAAGAGACAGCATCTTTAATTAGTCGAGTTAAGAGAGGAACTAAACACGAAACTTGGCCAGGAGCTTAGCGCAGAGAGGAATGATGACGAGGACTTGAGATGAAAAGGACAAGCCCTCGGCGCGGCGGTCGGCATGTAGCACATATTAGCGCCTACAAGACTGCATGAATACTTCACCCATTGCGCCAAACACAGTGCGGTCAGGAGCGGTTGGCGTGAAACGCATAGCGCCTACAAGACTGCAGGAATACTTCACGCGTTGCGCCAAACACAGTGCGATCAGCCCGGCGCGGCGCAGCGGCGGACGTTAAAAGTATTAAACCACATTTATGTTTGTTCTTTCAATTTTTTGGTTCATTCCTTACAAATGAAGAAGCAAATTTCCGTGAAATGTTGCTAGTGGTGTTGACAGGGCTTTCGCAAAAAATGTATTCAACACGAGTAGGTAAACGCGTCTTATGCACCCCTCCCCCTCCGACACTTGAGGGTTTTTATTGATGTTTCAAAACGAATGAGAAGGGGGCGGCAAAATACAGGCGGCCCATGGGCGGCAAGTAGGTAAATCCGGCCCTGCAATGCATGCTCTCTTATCAAAATTTCAAGTGCCTAGAGCGAGATATTAGAATAATTTCTGATCGTTCATTTCAGCTCGACATCTGAATCAGAATGGTTGAAATGAAAACCCTCAGCTGCCTCTGTCTCTGCCTCCTGTTTGCCATCTGTGCTTGCCGACGCTCGTCCTACAATAGCTCACAAGGATATTCAAGCTCAGGATACAACAGCTCACAAGAATATTCCGGTGGTAACAACACAGGATTTCAACAATTTTGTGTAAAGGCCTTTGAGACCATTACACAAATAGTGATGCTCCTCCCCACCGCCACTACAGGAGACGTAAGCCAACTTGCATTACTTGCCGAGTTAGTTAATGGAAAAGAAACCGGGGCTGGGTTCCAAGCCAGACCATATCTCGGCGCTGGAGCGAATGCACTCGGACCTCCTATCGGGATAATAGTCAGCGCTACTAACAATACGAACGAAGTGAATATCACCATCACCAACCCAACTAATCAACCCATCAGCTTTGTTATTACGAAACCGAGTGTAATCCTTTGCAGCCTCCTGGCAAAGTTTGGAATATTCAAAGGCACGGATTTTCGGTACGGACCCGCTTTGCAAGTCCTCAGCGTCACGAGAGACGTCCTTGCTGCTGCGATTAATAATACCACCGGATCGAATGTAACAGGCACTTCTATATTAACGAATGTGTTCCCGTTCCTTGGTTGAGCTAATGATTACTCGACTTTCTTACAAACAGGATGATTATTGTTTAAAATAATTTGTAATTTTGTTTCCATTTTTTTAAAATAGGGCTATTTAATCCTGACATCAAGAGAAGAGTGTCGAATAATTATGTAGTAAAAGTGTTAATCAATTCCAAATTGTTTGTATTATCACAATTTTAACAAAAAATCCCAAATCAATATCAGTATGGCCAGAAATTTACTTCAATAATGAAATGTACGACCAAAATTACATAGGAAATGACATATCACTTGCCTTATCACGTAAAAATTTGAAAAAATGCACCCTCCTGCCTTTAAAATTTGGCCACCATCTTGGATTTGAGGCACCAATTTTGACCGGAGGACTGTTTTGACTTCAGTAATGAAATCTACGACCAAAATTACATAGGAAATGACATATCACTTGCCTTATCGCGTAAAAATTTAAAAAATGCACCCTCCTGCCTTTAAAATTTGGCCACCATCTTGGATTTGAGGCACCAATTTTGACCGGAGGACTGTTTTGACTTCAGTAATGGGCTATTTAATCCTGACATCAAGAGAAGAGTGTCGAATAATTATGTAGTAAAAGTGTTAATAAATTCCAAATTGTTTGTATTATCACAATTTTAACAAAAAATCCCAAATCAATATCAGTGTGGCCAGAAATTTACTTAGAATCCCAGACAAATGCGAGTTTATAGATCGTATTCGGTACATCAGGCAGGTGAGGTTGTGTCGATATCGATTGGTTCAACATGTGAACATAGCCTCAAAAGTCAATCGAGTAATCTGTGAGAACGGGGTTTTTTTAAAGATTTTTGATTCTTATGAGTTCCAAATGGCAATTCAAAGTAAAATACTTAGGAATTGTCTCTTCTTCAGCTTATCTAACTTAAATCCTGAAATTTTCATTTGAGATTACGTTCTGTTGTTTCGAACCAAACGACACACCGAACCACAATCGAATACCTACGATACGTTAAAATGTAGTCTAATCATTTATTCCGCTTTGTTAAAGTTAGACCATGACCTATAAAAATTGCCCTGAACCTGATTGACACAGGGATTGAAATCGAGTGTACCGTTCGAAAAATCGAAGGAAATTTGACAACGCCTGAAGGCCTAAGACGTTTTTTCTTCAGGTGATTCGATGGACGCCATATTTTGTATCAGAACGGCATGCGATATATCGCATCAATTGGTTACATTTTTTCAGCTACTCGTCATTTTTCTCCAATTTTGAGATTGCAATTCTGTTGTCAGGAGACTAAAGTACTCACCTACCAATTTTAACAAAGAAATTCAACGTAATAAACGCGAGGTTTTTTTTAGAGAGAAAACATAGCATTCGATACTGATATCGAAACTGCACTTGAATTACTGCACTACGGTATTGAGGTTCATGCGTAAAAAATGTATTACATACTTTCTTCCGATTTTCCAGCCACGTTAATGAAAGGTGACAGGTTAGCGAGCTCTTTTTGAGTTTAAAAATTGATTTTAGAGAGAACAAGCGTTACCATTGTACCTCCCAAAACAATTGACCTCGCAAAAGATGCTTAAATCGAATGGCTCCGCTGGTTACAAAAACGTTATTGGATTTTAAGCATCTAACTTTAGAAACAGATCAATTGGTCTCACAAGGACGTAAAAGAAAGGCGCAATGCAAGTATTAATTGTTATTTTACGTACGTACAAAACTATTTTGAAAGGTACATTACACCAACTATTAAAAATTCGTGTGTGTTAAACCTATTATTAAATCTGGCTTTTTTTCAAGAGCATTTTTCAAATATTTTTATCTTTCATTTTTAAAACAATAATAAAAACATGTTTTTCAAACCTCTTGGAAAATTCATCTTTCATTTTTAAAACCAGTAATAAAAACATGTTTTTCAAACTTCTCGGGAAACTGACAATGTCGCGATAAAAATCAGTTGTAACTTACTTCATCGGCACAATAGGCAACTCTGGAATTGAGTTAAAGTGTAATAAAGTTAAAGTGTAAGAAAAACAACGAATGCTTCAGTTGATGTCTCATGCGATGATGCGACGGATCCTAAACGAGTTTTACTATAACGCCTTGATGGTGATGCAGCTCTTCGGGCTCTATGGATGCCCATATTGCATTCGCACGGAATTGAAGGCGTTTTGGCCATTGACACTAGCCGCCTCACCAGCGCAGCGCAGCGGCGCTTAGTGGAGCGAGTCAATGACAAGATTCGGACAAAATGTGGAAATATTAAAGGCTCAAATCGGTGTTACTAATAAGGAACGTAGAGCTTTTTAGGAGTGGTGTCATAGATTTTCTCGTAGAATTTCCTTCAATAATGTGATGAAACGCGAACATTAAAATTTCTTTGTCGTCTAAAACATGTCCAACCTCTCTGAGGCTCGTTACACCTAGCGGCAGGCTTTACTGGAGGGATCTAAAATTACAGAATGCTAAAACTGGGTTTTTCAAGAACATGTTTTAAATACTATTATTTTTCGTTTGAAAAACCAATTATAGAAAATATAATTTATCATTTAGCGGAGGTTTTTGAAAACTAAAAAAGCCTAGAGGTTGATTCCTTAAATTGCTTAGTATTATTTTTTTAATTAATTCTTATGAGTGTCTTAAAAATCAAAATTTAACGCATTGGAGCAATCTAGTTTTTTGGTGCGCTATTAGGGTGCGGCTCCTTGCATTAATAGACCGTATTCGATAACGGTTCGATGTATCGTTTGGTTCAAAACAATAGAACATAACCTCAAACCAAACTAAAAGGATTAAAGTTGGAAAAGCTGAAAATGAGAAAATTCCTAACAATTTCACATTACGTTGGCATTTGGTACGCAAAAGAATAAAAAATCTGTTACAAAGGACCCGTTCCCTCAGATTTCTGAATTTACGTTTGAGGCTATGTTTATGTTTTGAACCAATCGATATCGATACAATCTCACCCGTTTGATGTATCGAATACGATCTATATGAGAGAATCATCATCGACGTCCCATTGTGAATTCGTCATGGAAACTTTATTGCGCGAAAATGTTCATGTGTGTGGTCACGCTACACTTTTTGCGACCGACTTCTAGTTATCTCCGATTTGCTAAATTAGCGTATTCCGCCCGAGTGTAATGCACGTGTGAAACAGTGGCAAGGCGTGAATGATCGACGATCGATATTTCCCTCATTTAAAGGTATGACAAAGAATCGATTATTAAGGTGTACGCTGAGAACGCCCTATTTATCGATCCTTTTCCATACGTTTAAATGACAGATCGATCAATATATCACAAAGCACGCCACGCCTCTGGTGCGAAGCCCCCGAAAGCGATTTTGACACGTTCCAAAACTCAGTTCCAGTTCATCTCTTCATCTTGAACGAGCTTGGGTGAGTCTTTGTGGGGAATTTCAAGTAGAGAGAAGGAGAGCCTGGTTATAACACAGAGACAAAGCAAATGAATAGCGTTTTTAAAATAAAACTCTTCAAAAATAACTACCTATTAGTGTTAGATACTTTCATGAAAGTCGCGAATCAACAAATTAACTTGCCAATATTAATAAATAAATAAATACATAAATAAAGTTCCTGATATAAGGGTTAAATTGTAAATTTAATTAAAATTTGAAACTTCTTTATGAAAATTTAAACCACTAAATTTAATTATAATTTTGAAAACACGCACAAACAATAGGAAAACATTTTATAACATTTTATTAGTGATCAAGGAGAGTTTTTGTTCCTTGCAGATCGGGAAAACGAGATGTAGCCAAAAGGAATTGAATTCCTCCGAATTAAAACATCAAACGGCGCGGCGTCTACACATGGCATGCATAATCACAACATAAAATTTTCACATCTCTATTATAAAACGCGTGCAAAGGATGACCAAAAAATTGACCTTACAGCCCTGCTAGTCTTGAAATTGGCACGTACGAATCCGCACAAACGTTCTCTTGTTAAAAATTAAATTGTCCAATGGAGATGTTGCATGTGTGAAGAATTTGCGATTTGACTGTTGAATCTTATGTAAAAGTTCGCGAAAAACACGATGGTGCCACTGGTTTTCTCTGAAATTGACTCCTAAACTCAAAAGAACCTCTCAAGTTGAGGCCAAATGGAGGGGATATCCCACGCTATCCTGAGAGTCCACCTCTACATCAAAACAAACTCCCCGTGCAAAGATAGGGAGCAAATACATTAGCAGGGTTGCCGTGTTTTCAGTTTTGGAGTCCCCAAATAAAGTGGCAGCCCTGTCAATGTATTTGCTCCCTATCTTTGCATGGAGAGTTTGTTTTAATGTAGATGTGGACTCTCAGGATAGCGTGGGATATCCCCTCCATTTTGGCCTCAACTTGAGAGCTTTTTTTGAGGTTGGGAGTTGATTTCAGAGAAAACCAGTGGCACCATCGTGTTTCTCGCAAACTTTTACACAAGATTCGATAGTCAAATTGAAAATTCCTCACACATGCAACATCTTCATTATATTCAGCAATAGGTGATGTGGTTTAGTACCTTTCTGCTAAACGCGTTCCATTTAGGAATAGCCATTTCATTTGAATATTAGGCATTTGTCACTGCCCCTCTTCTACCGAGTTAACTACCGATGCATGCTCTCTTATCAAAATTTCAAGTACCTAGAGCGAGATGTTAGAATAATGAATTCTGATCGTTTATTTCAGCTAGTTATCTAAATAAGATTGGTTGAAATGAAGACCCTAAACTGCCTCTGTCTCTGCCTCCTGCTGGCCACCTGCGCTTGCAGACGCTCGTCATACAGTAGCTCACAAGGATATTCAAACTCGTCATACAACAGCTCACAAGAATATTCCGGTGGTAATAGCACAGGATTTCAGCAATTTTGTGTAAAGGCCTTTGCGATCGTTTTACAAACTGTGATGTACATCCCCACCATCAGCACTGGAAACCTTGGCGATCTTTCACTGCTTTCCGCGATACCAGGATTTACCGGAACTGGAGCCGGCGTCCAAACAATGTCGTTTATCGGTGGTGGAGCGAATTTGGGTGCGGATCCTTTCGGCTTTAAAATCACCCGGATTAACGGTACGGATAAGTTCAATATCACCGTCACCAACATAAAGAGCCCGGGAAATGACGACGTCAGCTTTGTTATTCAGGACCCGAGCATAACCTTTTGCAGCCTCCTGGCCAAGTTAGGAATATTCAAAGACACGAGTTTTAAGTATGGGCGCGCCTTGCAAGTCCTTTACCTCACGAGAGACCTCATTGCTGCGGTAATTAATAATACTACCGGATCGAGTTTAATGGCCACTCCTATATTATTGAGCTTGCTCCCATTACTAGGTTGAGCTAATGAGTATTCTTTGATGCAAACCTTCAGGATGATTATTGTTTGAAATAAATTTATAATTTTGTTTCTATTTATAAGTAAATGAAAATACAATAAATGAACGATACAATGAAATAAAAATCATGTTTGCAAATGTTTTTTCAAATGCATTGCATTGCAATGCATTTCAATGTGCTGGTTGTTTTTTTTTTCGTAAAAATTAGCCGTGTTAACCGCTGTGTAATTTGTTATTATCTTGTCACAGGATGCGAAGCATCAGTTATATCTCACGTCCATTTTTCTACGCACTAGTAAAAAAAGTAACTTGGATCAAGAGTCCAGACTCTTAAAACCATTGACAAGAAAAAATACTCTTGATTCAATCGGATTTTTCCTTGAATCGAAGAGCCAAGCCTCTTGATTTAAGCGGATTTCCATTTGAATCAAGAGTATTTTTCTTGTCAATGTTTTCAAGAGTCTGGACTCTAGATCCAAGCTACTTTTTTTACCAGTGCGGGTATGATCCGGTTTATTTGATTCCTTCACGTAACACGTGTTGCTCGTTGTTGTGAGCTATGATGCCAAACTGTCGTCACCAATCGAAAACGCCTTCAGTTTCGCTCGATACTTCACCGCTCACACCAGAGTTAAAATACATAAATTGCCGAGAAGAATTCTCCGCTTTTCGGTCATTTATGAAGTACTGTCTCGCATTTAGTCGGAAAAATCTCAATGGAAACTGTTAGCATTAATCATGAGATAAATCCCTCTTTATCATGTTAAATCTTGCAATTAACTGTTTCCTTCTGCAGAGAGCAGATGGGCGCCCAGTAAATGGTAGCAGAAAAAGCAAAAAGAAATTAGATCTGATAAAATTTAAAAGATCGACCAGCTCGTTTAGTGGCTTAAGGTGCCCCCATATTTTGCTTGCTGCAGGGCGTGACGAAAGCGGTTGAGTGTATGGCTCGCAGAGAGGAACTTGAAAACGCTCATTAGCGGAACCAGCAAATTGGCAACATTGTTTTTCTCCATTTAAGCCTATGGAAATATATCGATTCTTGGACGGGCCAGGGGCTCAGACAAGAATCGAGTAATTAAAATAGGTTTACATGGAAGGAATCAAGGGTTGCCAAATCGCTAGATCCGCCTCTGAAGACACTTTCGGTTTTAAGGGATTGTTTCTTATACTTATCACACGTTCATTTTAAAATAACGCTTAAATCTTCGGTTCCAAGAAAAGAGTGAAAGACCCATTCTCAATCTTAGAGCGCTTAAAATCAAAGCGATGAATTAATCAATCACATTCTGGATTACCTAAAGGTTTAAACCGGTTTCATTAATACAATTTCTACCGTTTTTTTCGCTTTTTCATCTCCAGCACTCAGAGGTGTTTTCGAAAATGACTGATGCGATTGGGAGCTCATATTTCCGGCTCACCGCAAAAACAACGTATGTGATACGTGTTTCCCAACGGAGACACCTGCTTTTGAGCGTGCTGCTTTAAGCTAGAAATAGTGATCCCTTCTTGCGAAATGTAATCTATTAAGTGAAGTTCTGAATTGTCCCTTGGTCGCGGCGACTTAATTTCACGAAACTACACACATTAAAGCCACTTTTGCAGCGTTCTTTGGCGTTCTGCGACACCAAACCGCCAACGTCCCTCATCCTCCTACAGCCCTTCAGAGAGATTCGCGAAAGTGCCCCTCGAAAGAGATCCCAGCGCGTGCGGCCACGGCGCAAGATTGTCAGATTGTGCGATAAGACTTGGATATTTTGCATGGATTTGATTGGGGGGAATGCTGATTTTTCAGCACAAACTGAAAACAATGACGCGACATGGCCCACACCGCATTCCCGCTTTTTGGTCGCCAACTTCCAGTTTATCTCCGTTTCGCTGGATTTACTGATCCGCCGCGCCGTGGCGAAGCGTGAAAGATCGATTATCGATATTTTCCCATTTGAAGCTGTTGTAAAGAATCGATTAATAAGGTGTTCGCTGCGAACACCCTGTTTATCGATCCTTTTCCATAGGTTTAAATGGCAGATCAATCGATATATCGCAAATGTAAACACAAATGTAATGCTTGTGTCAAGACGCTCCGAGTCGAATTTTGATAAAGTTCAAAACTTTTTGTCAGTTTCAAATGAACTCTTCGACAAGAACGAGGTCGGGTAAGTCGAATTTGTAAAGAATTTTACATAGAGAGAGTCTAGCGTACACTCTAAAGACACAGATAAGTGGAAACAGAATGGGCCTGTTGCAAACTTTTGCTAGAGCAAAACTAAGAGTTGTTTCTTATAGATAATGCCTCAAAAATCACGATGAGCGCATCGGCAAACTCTGAAATGCACTCATAACTTCACAATCTGCGTAAGAAATTTGCGGTTTTTTGAGCTTCCCGCTTCAAAAACGATACTACGGCACAGGTGAACATTTTGTTAGAGGAGTCGTTCCATCGTCTGCAATACTCATCATGGCCGACACCAATCCGCCAAAACACGTGTGATGGTACGAGATAACACCTGAACAGGATTAGACCAAGTAACAATCGGCGTGTTTACGTTCATATTTTTCTCGCCCGCCTTGATTGACCTTGAACTCTCCTCGAATTACGCGCAGAACTGCGCAAGCGTCGGTCATGATGAATATTGCCGACGATGGAGCGACTCCTCTAACAAAATGTTCACCTGTGCCGTAGTATCGTTTTTGAAGCGGGAAGCTCAAAAAACCGCAAATTTCTTACGCAGATTGTTAAGTTATAAGTGCATTTCAGACTTTGCCGATGCGCTCATCGTGATTTTTGAGGCATTATCTATAAGAAACAACTCTTATTTTTGCTCTAGCAAAAGTTTGCAACAGGCCCATTCCTAGATGTAAACCCGTTTGAAAAAGATGCACTGGAAAAAAAACCACATTGTAACAAGAGTCTAGACTCTTAAAAACATCGACAAGAAAAAACACTCTTGATTCAATCATATTTAAGCTTAAATCAAGCACCAAGCCTCTTAATTTGAGCGGATTTCCTTTTGATTTGAGCTTAAATCTGCTCCAATCAAGAGTTCTTTTTCTTGTCAATGTTTTCAAGAGTCTGGACTCTAGATCCAGTGTGTTTTTTTCCAGTGCGGACAACGAACAAGTCAAATTAAAGTAATCTGAAATGCACTCATTGGGGTGAATCTACACTGCGAATAAGCAGACATAGAGATAGGTATGGAACAAAATAATACTATAATACTGGTTTCCATTCAAATTTTAGTTTAAAAAAATGATACGATAAATATCGCATCAATTTATTAAAAGATCTCGGTAGATTCAAACTTTTAAGCCGAAAGAAGGACGATAGCCCCTACGCATAAGCCTACGGAATATTATTGACCAAAAAATCGCAAGAGAAATCGGGAAAGCCGAATTCTTTTCGGGAAAATGTTTTGCATTCGATACAAATATCGACCTTTGAATCGAATACAACGTCTTTTTCAGGAAGAATCCTACCTTTATCTCTCTGACTTTTTAATTTTTTTGTTGGAAATGATTCCTTAGGCTCACGCACAGAGACTATATCGTCCTTTCTTGTCAAAAAAGTCAAAATCTGCCGGGATCTATTTATCTAATCGACGCGATATATCGCATACCAGTTCAGTTTGCCAAGAACCCGGGGCGCACCTTGAAATTAAAAAATAATCGAACTTTAGGAATATTTAAGGATCGTGTATGATATGTGTACAGGATGCGGGTGTTCGTTCGTTCCTTCCAGTGGCGTGGCGTGAATTGCGATGTATCGATTGTTGTGCCATTTAAACCTATGGTAAAGAATCGATTATTAAGGCGTTCGCTGCGAACACTCTGTTCATCGATCCTTTCCCATAGGTTTAAATAGCATAACAATCGATATATCGCAATTCACGCCACGCCACTGGTTCGTTCACAGGATAACAGGGCATGGGAGCGAGAGCAGTAGCAATTCTTGAAAGTTGGCAACACTGTTTATAACCTCCGTTTAAATACATTAAAATTGTCGATTTAAGGCGAGGCACTAAAAATCGATTATTTCACATACATTTAAATTGAGGAAAAGCAGTGTTACAAACTTAAACGAATTGCCACTGCGGGAGAGTGAGAGGAAATGAGACCTTTTTTCCTAACCACGCGTTTAAGTCTCTCAGTTTTTCGCTCAAGAGAGAGGATCTGCGGAGATTTTTCACTTCATCATCGCGATTTACCGTACGCCAGATCGACCATGCCAAGAACCCGGAGTGCAAGGGGGTGGGATTGGTGGGAATCTTATGCGGAGGCCTGATTTTTTCTGTGATTATCGGCATAAATGTTTCAATTTTAGTTTCCATGTAAAGTGTATCTAACTCTTTGAAAGAGCAAAAGTTACACCTATTTTGCAATGGTTGCAAGGATGGGCACATTGTGTTTTTCATTTAATGTTCTGAAAGTACCAGGTGAGTAGATTACCATAATGGTTCATTGAGTATTTTTGAAGCCAAAATCCCGAACAAGCCCGGTTTCAAAAAAAAATCCTAAGACTCGTCGGAATGGTAGGACCAATCAAAAAACGGCACAGCTTTAGTAAAAAGATACGAATGGCCATACTCGGTCTATAAAGGTATTCTAGTCAAAGTCGGTGTCGATTGTATCGAATTGAATCCAAAAAACCAAACATGACCTAACATTGACCCCCCCCCCCCCCCNGCCCGTTGATCATCAAAATTTCACTGTCAGAAGGCAGGTAACTAGACTGGCTTAGGAGTGGCTAAACTTATGGCGGCTCTCGCAGGCATCTTTTCTGAAACTATGCTTTATCCCGTCAGCCTAATCATAAGGGGGCGTTCTATGATTCAAAACACTGTCTCTGACATAAAGTACTTCAAACTGAGCGAATTATCCCTGGAATAGTCAAGTTTGATGTTATAATAGTGAGGTTATGTCATTATTTGGATCCAGTTCGATACGATCGATACCGTCTGTGACGTGGCACTAAGCAGCGTCTATATGAATTTAATGCGGGAGAACTCTCTCCTAGAGTACCTGCGGGCCGATTATTGAAACTGATAGACAAAGCTATAGACAAAAACGACAAAAGGGATTTGGAGGGATCCTATTGGTGGAAACGGGTGGTTGCAATGGACAAAGGAGGTAGGTAATAGACTAACTAACGGCAACCCACGAGAGACCCGACAGTTAGTCTATCATTTTCCCCCTTAGTCTATGAGAACCAACTATGTCAACCAATAGGATCGCTCCATACTCCCTATGTCATCTTTGTCTATCAGTTTCAATAATCGCCCCGCTGTAAAGTGTATAGCGAGAGTATGGACAGATGTGAAACTTCGAAAATCCATCAGGCCTTCACCGATGCTTCTACGAATAAAGTTAGGGCCCAGAAATCCAGCCAACCTATGAATTTCAATTATCAAGAGCGATTTACTGATACTATTGATACGAACCGTCCTTTATTAAGCACGTGTTTGACTCAGTTTTTGCATTTTACTCAATTTCGCGGAAGAACGCTCATTTCTGTACATTCTTGGCCATCTTGGTTAGAATTGGAATCTGCGGACTGGCAGTGAAATTTTGTGCGTTAGAAGTTGGTTAGAAGGGTGGCTGCACTTTTGGGCCCTAAGCCCTCCATGAAACGATCTATCCATACTCTCGCTATACAGGTACTCTACTCTCTCCGATTGTTCGTTTCAGATTCAGTTAGCCGCCTGAACAGAAATGATCGACATGAAGACCCTTAACTACCTCTGTCTCTACGTTCTGTTGGCTTCCTGCGCTCGCGGACGCTCATTGTACAATATCTCACAAGATTATTCCAGCTTCTTCAATATCTCACAAGATTATTCCAACTTCTTCAATATCTCACAAGATTATTTCAGCTTCTTCAATATCTCACAAGATTATTCCAGCTTCTCCAATATCTCACAAGATTATTCCAGCTTCTTATACAATATCTCACAAGATTATTCCGGGTCCTCGTACAACAGCTCACAAGATTATTACGGCTTCCTGTACAACAGCTCACTAGATTATCTCGGCTTCCTATACAACAGCTCACAAGGATTCTCCCGTGGCAACAACACAGGGTTTAAACAATTTTGCCTGACGCTTGCTGCGGGGCTTACCAACACAACGATCTACATCCCTCTCGTCTCCCTAAACCTGACCAATCCTCAAGGCGTATCTACCGGTGCAGGCGTGGAAACCAATGCCCCCGGCAGCGGGAAAGCTGTCGCCGGTGGTGCGGATGTTGCCGGCTTTAAAGGTGGAATACAGATCAACAGCGTTGCCGGAATGCCTAATAAAACGAATATTACCTTTACTGGCTACTTTATTCAGCCAATCAGCTTTATCATCCAGACACCAAGCAAAACCATATGCCAACTCCTCGGCCAGTTGGAGGTATTGAATGCCTTGGGTCCTTTCTACGAGCCCATCTTGAACCTCGTTGGCACAGTAAATGGCGTCCTTGGTTATATAGTGAATAGTACAACAGGGGATAAGGTAGAAATTAATCCTTCTCGTATAGGTTCAAATTTTTTGAGTTTATTAGTAACATTACTCATGGAGTGAGCGAATAGCTTATTCTTTGACGCACCTCTCCAGGTTAGTTATTGTTGCCAATAATGTGTAATACATTTTCTAATATTTTTGTAATAGCTTTAAGTTATTTCTATAAGCACTGTTTGAACTATCTCAATCTTTGGTGCCTCAGGAGTAGGAAAATCGCACCAGCAGCGAGGAGAGATGGGTGCTGAAAAGGTTGAATATCTTAACGATCCATAAGTCAAATATTAAAAAAAAAAAAAAAAAAAAAAAAAAAAAAAAAAAAAAACTATAGCTAGCAAGGTGAGAAAATGGTCGGTAAAAACTGTTTATACTCTGCATCCATCTAGAAAATTCGCGTAGATTAAAAGGAGTGAAACTCAGGTACCTATTGTGAGACCCTTGTATTACATGTTAACAGTTTCTGTGTCGACAAAAGTAATTACAGAATTTTGTTTTTAAATGAAATTGACAGAATTGGTGTAATACTAGACAAACACACCAAACAGTGTGATTTTAAAATTCGCGGTATTATAAGCTAATAAAACAGCATTATTTGCATTTTTGAATTATCTACATGAAACGTTCCCAGTGGCAGACTCTCGAGATGGATGGTGATAAATAACTATAAACAATCAATTTATTGTCTATTTATTGCTATGAAACTTATAATGAACTAGCTGCTCNGTTAACGTCCGAAGATTCGGACCTCCGTTTTGATGCATCGAAGAAAATTTTAGAAAATTATGGGAGAAAATTTGAGAAAATCGAAAAAACGATCACAGCCTGCAAATCTACAGCTCAGGGGCTTTCATTTAAAAAAAACCCCATGCAAATCGGTCCGGTGGTTCTCTCAAAGTTAATGCCCCAAGATTCGGAACTTTGCATTTTAATATATAGGATAGCAATTTTAATCTACATGTGAAATACAAACTTGCAATAAGTAGTCATTTAGAATTTTGGATACGGAGTAGCTATTTAACCTCATTTTATCGCTATGAGATCGCTATTTTTCAAAATTTTCCTCACCAAATTTTTAAATTTTTATTAGCTACCCAATTTCCGTTCATCAGTATCGAATTCTTATTTTTGGCAACTCTGCTCTATGGGTTCTTAAGAGCTCAATACGAAGCCTGAGATGGTCGAGGCAATAAATCGTATTCGATAGTCGTTCGATGTATTGTTTGATACAAAACAATAGAACATAACCTCAACAAAAATTTTAGGATTTAAGCTGGATAAGTTGAAAATGAGAAAATCCCTGACAGTTTCACCTTTCATCGCCATTTTGGACTCATGAGAATCAAAAATCTATCACAAAAAACCCGTTCCCGCAGAATACTCGATTGACTTTTGAGGCTATGTGGACATGTCGAACCAATCGATATCGATACTATCTCACTTGTTCGATGTATCGAATACGATCCATAAAGAATGGATGCAGGGGTCATACCAGTAGCAAGGCGTGAATGATCCATTATCGATTTTTATCCACTTAAAGCTATGGTAAAGAATCGATTATTAAGGCGCTCGTTGCGAGCATCCTATTTATCGATCATTTTCCATAGGTTTAAGTGGCAGATCAATCGATATGTCGCAGGCAAATAGTAAAAGTAGGCATTTTGTCAAATGCCTAGGCGAATAGTCAAATATTCTAACATAGACTTAAATTCTGATTCTTTTCCTAATTTCAGACGAAATAATTCATTGCTCCTGCAAGAAAAAATTATCAGTAAACATTTGCACACACAATAGTATTTTAAACAATTTTTAGCTCCTGGAGAGACACTGATCTTGAAATTTTCAATAGGTTGCAAAATACAGAATTTTTGGAATTTCAACATTTAATGATATGAGAAGCAATTGAAGAGGAAGAGACAAAAAGAGTTCGTGGGTTTGATGAGTCATTTATCCAAAAATTATAAAAAATCGTAAGCTCTTCGCCATAAATTCACAAAATTTTGTAGGCCATCAAAATTTGACCATCTGCCTAGGCATTTGACAAAATGCCTGATTTCACTATTTGCCTGCGACAGATACATCGCAAAGCACGCCACGCTACTGGGTCATACTCTCCCTATGAAGGTAGGTACTCTACATCTTCTATAGCTTGATTACTCATACGTTTGAATTGTAAGTGGCGGCAGGTTTAGGGCGACTTTCTTTTAATAGCCACTGCACTTGCAGTTAAACGACGCAAAGCAAGACGCAACGAATACGGGAAGGCCGTCGTCGTATCTCGTGACTTGGTCTCTGCCCGAGGCCGTCGAATTAAGCTCGCGCTCGCGTCAAAACAAACACTCCTGGCTCCAACCCGACTCCACAAACTACATTGCCGTGCTATGGAAAAACGCCGTATGAAAATTCGAGAGTTGCCAAATTTCCTTTCATAAAATGTTCATTTTTGCGGAATGTTATGCTAATTTTTCCTTAAAATGGAGATGTTGCATGTGTGAGGAATTTGCGCTTTGACTGTTGATTCTTACGTAAAAGTTTGCGCGAAACACGATGGTGCCACTGGTTTTCTCTGAAATCATCTCCCACGCTCAAAAAAGCTCTCAAGTTGAGGCCAAAATGGAAGGGATATCCCACGCAATCCTAAGAGTCCACATCTACATCAAGACAAACTCTCCATGCAAAGATAGGGAGCAAATACATTGACAGGGCTGCCATTTTATTTGGGGACTCTAAAACTGAAAACACGGCATCACTGCCAATGTATTTGCTCCCTATCTTTGCATGGAGAGTTTGTCTTGATGTAGAGGTGGACTCTCAGGATAGCGTGGGATATCCCCTTCATTTTTGGTCTCAACTTGAGAGCTTTTTTTGAGCTTGGGATTTGATTTCAGAGATAACCAGTGGCACCATCGTGTTTCTCGCGAACTTTTACATATAAGAATCAACAGTCAAATCGCAAATTCCACACACATGCAACATCTCCATTGAAGGAATATTGTTCAATATTTTTTCCATTACTCATTGTTCTGTTGAAGGCAATATGGCAACGCCTGAAGGCTCATACGGCGTTTTCCCTTAGCACGGCAGAACACTCCTCTCGGGTCAATTTATCGCCGGGAAAATAAAGGAAAATCTCTGAGAATCACGACAACTTTACAACTATCTCAGGAGCGCAGCCAAATCGCATGGTTGCACGAGTTGTTGCGAAACCGCAGGGAAAAGCATATGGAGAATACAATGAGAAAACTACCGTCGTATCATCGAAAGGAACAGTAACAGTGGGTGGACAAAATTTTGGACAATGAACCATTTTTTGAACAGCTCCATCCCCTAGGAGTATATCCGTACACAGCGAAACATCTCGAGGCAGGTTCCGCACCCCGAAAATTTCGGCAGGCGAGATTTCGTCACCTTCCGGCCAAAGTGTCACAACGAAACTGTCAAGTTGTTGAACATCAACCATGTAGGTAAGCCAGCAGTTTAATGTTGAAGTCCCGAAAGTAAACGCTACCACCATAGCTGAGGTACGAGTAGAGAGTCTCCCGTCTCAGACTCTCCCTATACAGGTACTCTAATAATCGGGTGAGAAACTCCAGAACCTCCGGACCGAGAACTCCTGTTTGTCTATTGCTTAAAGTAAACGCAATGCTGCAATGTTTGAGGATCCCGATGTTACATGGGTTCTATTTTTGTTGTCGCGAGTCTAATCGCCGAGCTCGGCGGAGATTACTCGGAAAACTCGAGCTTACAATCAGCGTCGTCGAGTGGCTGCGGCCCGACCTGACGCCGCCGATTGTCGCGCTTAGCACACACGAACACGCTCGCGTTATAATGGCCAGGAAAACTTGAGCCACTTACGTAATCAACGCTCGCCGGTGATAATAATTCTTTTTACATAATAACGAGTATCAGTTTAATGATATATCCGTCGAATACGCGGCTATGCACTCTGTCGCCAGCTCTTGCCTCTTCAATCGTCAACGCGCAGCCGGTAAAATAAATGTCGGTCCTTGCAGTTCGCGATCCTTCATCTGAGGGTGGTCACGAGAGAGCCTTTAAGGAAGAGTTATTTACTAGGGGGTCATGCCCCCTGGCCGCTACGCGGCCCGAACTCCGGAGAACGCTTCGCGTTCTCTTAGGCCCGCGTCGACAAAAGAACGACCAAAAAAAAATGTAAAGATTTTCATACCCGATTCTCATTTATCCAATCTCCTTATGGCCGGGGGCAATTGGACCAATAAGAGTCGAATGAAGAAATCGGCATTTATTTCAAACTTCACGCCAAGACTTACACGAAACGGAACGGAACGTTTCGTCGCGAACTCTCAATGCTCTGCTCCGTGCTGCTGGTGAGATTCGGGAGAAAAATTAAATAACGAGGCCCGAATACGTGTCCCCTATCTTCGGCTGTGTTACTCAGGTAGTGCTTGAAGCACCACTACAAACAAGACAAACGAAGACGAACACAATATGGAAATAGAGCGAGGGAAAGGATGCGCGTTTACGACGGCGGCGCAGAGATACAACTATTCGTACTCGATGGACGACCGTGCTGCATCTGAAAAATGGAAGGCGGGTTGATGCGAAGCGTGAGCCCTCAATGCTCTGTTATATGCTATCAATGAGGTGTCGCTCAGATTCGGGAGAAAAGTTAAAAAAGAGGCCCAAACACATCTCTCCTACCTTCGGATGTGTGAGAAGGAGAGGTAGAATAATATATATATTAATCATTAGCAATAGAGAAGGAGAGGTAGAATAATATATACATAAAGTAATATAGTTATTAATATTTAAGTGCTGACATGAAACAGCACTTAAATATACTAAATCTATAATTAAAAAAGATATTAATCATTAGCAATAGAGAAGCAATAGCATTAGCAATAGCAGATACTCGTTCTTTCTACTTTTTTCAGGTTCTTGTCTGATTCTTTTTTAAGAAGGTTTTGCAGACCCACGTCTTAAGCTCGTGTAAACCGCATGCACTGGCTCGGTTCTTTTGGAAATAATGGTGCTTGGATGCGTCTAGTGGCATTCATATTTTATTTTTTCTTTAATTTCAGAAGTCTGTAGATTACTTCAATAGTTCAATTTACCACACTTTACCATACCTTCAAGTGGGGAAATATCGATAATCGATCATTCACGTCTCGCCACTGTTTTGGAATGTATTTCCTACTCCGATTAATAAATGGAGGCAGAACTGAAATTTTCCAGAATTAATTCCGTACTTTGGAACATTTCAATATTAATTTGGAGTGGAGTTGACTTTGAATCGTTTATAGCATGTTATTCAAGCTCACATTTCATTTTTAGGCGCTATCTGGCTTATTAAGCTCAATTTTGGGTAACCAAATTAAAATGTTGACTGCAGCATATTTTATAAAAAGTTATGTATACGCAAGGTATACAGCCACGGTACTTGCAACCGTAACTTGGAGTAGACAAACTTTAAGAATGATATCCTAATGAAAATAATAAGCTTTTGCTTATTTTTAAAGTTCATAGTTTGTTCAACTCAATATAATTTTGGGTGCCTCCTTGATAAAAATAGGAGAACTGGAGGCACCCCATTTTAGGTCGGCAAACATGCCGATCAGAAAAATTAGGATTGCAGCAAGTTTTGGAAGCAACGTTTTGCTAGGGTTTCATTTTTTAGAGTCATGTCATACTTTTTGGGATTATTTGGCGCAATGACTCCAGGCATCTGTAGATTCTGAAGACTGCTTAAGTGAAGAAGAATAAATCAGTCGAAGGTTCAATTTTCAAGTAACGATTGTGCCAACATTTTTCTCAATGAAAAACGTACCGTGACAAGGTTACATTTTTGACCGTCGCATAAACAGTCAATGCAAGCAGAGTAAAAAATCAAATCAAATTTTAAAGTCAACATCAATCAAAATTGCTCCAAAGAGAGGTGTAAAAACACCTATCTTGGGTAATCAAATAACCTCCAATCCCATCTTTGTAAAAGAACAACTTAATTTGGGGAAAAGGATGCAAATAAAGAAAAAGGAATAAACAAGCTCAACAACAACTTCTTCTTTATTTGCAGCCTTTTCCCCAAATTAAGTTGTTCTTTTATTATGTGTATTTTGGCTGATTAAGTTGTTTCCCATCTTTGTAGTTACTTCAATTAACACCGATGAAAGTATCCAACTATATCAACAGACATAAAAAACTAAATCGCATCAAGAAAGTGCATTTGACTTAAACCGGGCAAACTCCATGAGTTAAAAGGAAGGATTCTGAAGACAAGGTTGAGGGCAAATTGTCGACCTGAAAATTTTAAATTTTAAATCATAAAGTAACGATTAGACGCAAAAATTTGCATGAGACAATGTGTATATTATGAAACCCGTAAAAGCATGTTGCAAATTTTACCCTTCCAGTTTGGGAACTTGGAGAAAAGATTGGTGGATCATTAGCATTCCATGAATGAGGAAATGTGCTGGAGAGAAGGTGGAAATTAAGGAGGTAAAATTCAACGTACAAAAATCGTTGATTGCTATGTGATATAAACTCTCAACCTCAGCACCTCAGCTCTGTTGCTGAGCTATCTCTAATCCGCTGGCGTTGTAATCCATAAATAAAACAAATCTAAGTGTGATTAAGTCCGGCAAAATTTGCCTTAAGGTGGAAGGAAAATGTAAAAGCACCACAGAAATGACATCATTAGTAGTGCGAGATCGGGATTAAAATTTTGGCTTATTGTTCTTCAAAGTTTAGACTGCGTTTGGCATCAAAAACTGAAAACGGATTTGTGCCCGAACTTGTCTTTTCCTGCGGTGAAAAAATTGCTATTTCTGAGCATCTCTTTTTTTATAAACCAGGATCTTTCTCCTTGCCGAGAAGAAATTTTCTTGGGAGCAAATTCAGGGATATTTCTTTTTAATCGAAGTCAAGCCTTCTCTCCAATGTAAACTGAAAGTCCTTTATTGACTCTTTAACTATACAGGCTGGCTCCTCCGGTGGAAAATGCATTTTTAAATTAACTTTCCCGAAAAGCTGGATAAAAAATTATTTTTAGTTCGGTAGCGCGGCGCAAATTGCGATAAATCGATTGTTATGCCATTTAAACCTATGGAAAAGAATCGATAAACAGGAAACAGGGTGTTCGGAGCGAACAATTTAATAATCGATTCTGAAGCATAGGTTTAAATGGCATAACAATCGATGTATCGCAATTCACGCCACGCCTTTGTTTTAGTTCAATAAAAAGGGTGCAAAATAGATAAACTAATACGTAGAATCCTGTAACTTTCGAGAGAGAGTGAGCGAGGTGTATGAATTTAATATAGAGACTGAAAGCCGTATCGACTATCGATCTCTCTGAATTCTCTATATTATCAATGAGGTCATAATTGAATCTCCCAAGCTGGTAGATTCCGGGAGCAAAGAATAATAATTACAGCTGAAACACGAGAATGCCCACCGCAATAAAGTATCAAGCGGCGGGGTTTCGCTTTCAATTTGTCGGGTAGGCTAAAAGCCCGTCGTAAGTAGTAAGTCTAAGGAACAGCGATTTTGTTCTGCTCAAATTAAACTAATCAAGTACAATTTCAGTGTTGAGGATTTTCCAATTATACTGATCACTGATCATTCTCGTATTTTCACATTTCTTTCTCTCTTTGCTTTTCAATTTTTCCTTTTCTCCTTTCTTATTGTTTTTCCTACATTCCTCAATTTTGTTTAATTTGTTTCTCTTGTGATGCTATATCAGTGGTAAAAAAGGTCACTAACAGATTCTCACGATAATGAGATTCATACCAGAAAGGGAAATTAAAAATCCCAATATTGTAAAGAGCTAAACATTTTATGAAAAGTTTCTGCTGGCTGATAGTTGAAATTGATAGACAAAGAATACATAGGGAGTATAGAGCGATCCTATTGGTTGAAATGGTTGGTTTCCATGGACTAAGGGAGAAGATGATGGACTAACTATAGGGTCCTCGTGAGTTGCCATTTGTCAATCAATTATCTACCTTCTTTGTCCATTGCAACCACCCACTTCCACCAATAGAATCTCTTCATATCACTTTTGTCTTCTTCGTCGGTAGCTTTGTCTATCAATTTCAACAATCAGCCCGCAGATTGGCTGTAAAATTGAAAATATCATATATTTTGACATCCTTGCACTTCTTTAGAAAAAAGAGGCAGAGGTAAAATATTGCTATCTCCTCCATGTAACTGATAGTCACCGTCCAGCGTGTTGCTTGATGTCTACATTCGCTGGCAGGGGCAACAATTTTAAGCAATATCCGCAACCCGAAATTCGCTGTATTCGGAACTGAAATTTTCGGTCCCGGCTGTCGCAATGCGGTGAAGGTACTGGGAGCTTTTCATTATGTACGTAATTCTCGGCACTTTTTCCCAAAAAATGTCAGGCCGGTGTGCCCAATTAGCATTTTTCAACGGAAATATCGCGATATTTTGAAGTAAAGTTACGATTTCTTTTACGAATTTTCGGCGATAAAATCGCTAGGATTATTAACATCTAAGCGATTATCCTCGATGTTGTCGTAATCTTATTTCAATGAAATCGGAATTTTATCTCGATTTATCAAGATTTATTGTTCGATAATATTGCGATTAATCGCCGTCGACACAGTTGCAATTTTATTGCAATTTTATGTGATGAAAACGTAATTTATCAATTTTTAAACCGATAATATTGCAGTAAATCTATGTCTATAAAATCGCCATACATTTTCCGATCAAATAGCAACTCATTGCGATCGCTGCTATTTGGACGATGTGAGACGCGTTTTTACATAAATATAATCTTTAAAAATAAGGCCTTTGTAATGTAGAATGGCCATAACCTCCGCCAGTTGGATCGCATTTACCAAAAAAGAACCAGCGCACTTACAGTGCTTTCAAAATCGTGCAACTTCTTCTTTACTTTTAAAAATTCTTAAGATATGTACAGAAATAAAATTTACACGATTATTGTCCTTTACAATTCACGAGATCTTTTATGGAAAGCAAAAACTTTTGGCTATTCTTAAAGATTTTTCAAATAATTATGAAAAAGAAACATTTCTAAAACATTGCAACCGCACTGGTTCTTTTTTTGCTAAATGCAATCCAGTTCATCGTTACTTCTTTGAGGAGGTCTAACTTAACAAGCAAAAGAAGTCTAGCTAAATAGAGTGTTAAGTTCAGTTAAAAAGGATGGATATACATCACCTTTGATATTCCAATGGTAGTAAAAGATCTCAAGTTGAGTGTACCAATGCACAAATATTGATTATTCCAAAGATGAGGAGTTTGATGATTAATCCAACGATCCAGTGAGGCGAATAATCTTGTGATTTATTAATTGAATTACGTTGGTACGGTAGCGATGGTTAACGCGAAACGAAAAGAAAGCATTGGGCAGAATTCACCTCACGATATAATATTTTCGAAATCGAAAATGGAGGGTGTGGATTATGTACACAAATTTTGAGTGATTATCATCGCTCCGTCGATAAATATAATGTGCAATTGTGCGCTCTTCATTATTTTTTCCGCGATCCACAGAAGAGCTGAACTTGTGACTTTTATTAAACAAAAAAAAAAAATTTCAAACCCAGGGAAATAACGCGAAGGTTCTTGAACCGGAATTTGTAAGCATATATCGGATTCGAATTCGATTACAAGGTGAAAATTCGACACTTTTAGTTCTAGGACCGTTTTGAAAACGAAATTTTGAACACTGAAAGGATTCTAGAGCACTTTTCCGGTGGAGATATTTAAATCAACTAAATGAACGAATCAAACAAGACCGCACAGCGTGTATCGCGCCTCACAACACTGATTTTCACGAATACGAAACCAGTAAAAACAGGGGGAAAAATCAAGAACTCCGATTCTTATCGAGTGTCGAACAATTAGAATCTCATGATGGTATACTTCATGTTCTGATTGTGAATATCAAATGGTTTTGTGCGAAATTTTCGATGATCGAGGAAAATCACTGAAGTCACCGCATAAGATACTATGGATTAAACAAAATTCGAATATCATTCAAACTTTCTGTTTTGAAAAAAACGGCGAATGTCAAACCGAACTGAAACGCGGACGGAAAATTGGCAAAAAATGTGCCATACCTGATTGTATTCTAGGGAACCGGCACCGCACCACAAACATGAGTCGAAAATCGAATATCATTCAAACTTTCTGTTTTGAAAAAACCGCGAGTGGCAAACCGGACCGAACCGAACCGCACTGAGACGGGAAAATCGGCAAAAACTGTGCCAAACCTGATTGTATTTAAAGGAACCGGAACCACACCACAAACACGAGTCGAAAATTCGAATATCATTCACACTCTCTGTTATGAAAACCACCGAATGGCAAACCGGACCGAACCGAACCGCACCGAACCGCACCGAGACGGGAAGATCGGCAAAAAATGCGCCAAACCTGATTTGAAAAAATTCAAGGGAACCGGAACCACACCACAAACACGAGTCGAAAACCGAATATCATTCACACTTTCTGTTATGAAAAGCACGGAATGAGAAACCGAACTGTATAAGGGCGGGAAAATTTGTGCGAATGCGGGAACTCGGTAAAAACGGCGGGAAAAAGTCGCTGGAGGGTGAACCCGAGTCGGATCCCAGATCGGCGGCGGATAAGCGACTGACCAGGGAAAACTTGATAAGCGAGTCACCTGTTGATTGGTGGCGCGCGCGCAGGCCCGATCGCCGGGAAACCCGAGTCGCGGCCCGGGGCGGGGCCAAAGGTCACCACCGTGACGTCACCCCAAGGTCGGGGTGGCCGCGGGTCGCGGGCCGCCCGCATGTCCGACGCACCTCCCCAAAGCTCCCGTGCTAAGGAAGAACGCCGTATGAACATGCGAGAGTTGCCACATTTCCTCTCAGAAAATAGTTATTTTTGATGAAAGTTATGAATATTTGGACCGCGTTAAACAGGAAGGAACCAAGCCACATCAGCTATTGCCAAATTTAATTGGGCAATTTAATTTTTTTAATGAAAACGGTTGTGTGGATTTTCGTGCAAATTTCAGTGAAAATTCTCCGTGGTGCGAAGCAAATTCCTTAAAATTTTCAAAGAAATCCGAACAACCGTTCTCTCGTAAAAAATTTAATTGCCCAGTTAAACTTGGCAATCGCTGATGTGGCTTGGTTCCTTTCTGTTAAACTCGGTCCATTTTTCCTTGAAATTTTCAGGAACTTTACACGGAGAAAAAAAACCTCGTGCGTGGGACCCGAAGTTTAGGTCATATGGATCTCTAAAGTTTTCGGATTGAGCATCTGGACGTTTTAGGTCCAGCTGCTGAAGTTTGGATCACACATCTGAAACTTCAGTTCTTACATCTGAAGTATTTCGGTTTTCACATCCGAAAAACTTCGGTTCTCACATCTGAAGTACTTCAGATGTAAGAACTGAGTGTAAGAATGTAAGTTTCAGATGTGTGATCCGAACCTCGACAGCTAGACCTTCAGTGTTCAGATGCTCAATCTGAAAACTTCAGAGATCCATATGGCCTAAACTTCGGGTCGCACGCACGAGGTTTCTTTCTCCGTTTAGGTAAAATTGCCAACGGAATTACCTGGAAAATTTAAGTAAAAATATTTACAAATTTTCTCGAAAATTCGTCATTTATGAAAGGAAATTTGGCAACGCGTGAAGATCCATACGGTGTTTTCCTTAGTACGGCAGAAAGGATGCCCATCACACCACTTTGTCTAACAGTCATGTCCAAGAGATCTGCCGCGATTGCGAAGAGAGCAGTAAGGGTCAAATTTTCGAGATCGAGATTCCCTCAAAATTTCGTCCAGACTCTTTTAGATGAAATCACTGAAATTGCTAAAACAGCAGAATTTGTAATTGTAGCAAAACGAGACGTATGAGGAAGCCGCAATTGCCCAAAAAATGACGTATTTTCAGGCAAGACAGCAGTACTATCGTGCTAAGCAAGAACGCCGTAAATCCATCAAGATTTTCCCTCGTTTTTGGAACTCAACACTTTATAAAATTGAAACTGTTTTAACCATGCACCTCAAATTTTCAGGTTAAGTTTTTGATACTACTTGTGAAAGAATTCTGTGAAAAAATTGTCCGATCCCAGGGTATACACACATTTTTCTGCTATCATACATTTTTTCCACAGAGTGAGTGACAACACTCCTCCAGGAAACGGTGCTTTCAAATAAAGTGCAGCCCTCCTCTGCGAATTTCTAACCTGAAAATGTGTTTATTTTGTGTCCAACACACAAAACCACAAAAGCATGCAGAAGATAGCACTTATGGCTGCCTTGCCTAACGATAACTTATCATGAAAATGAAAAATACTCTCTCTATGTAATTAAAATAATATCAGTCGATTTTTAATAATCCAAATAAAATCTAGGAGTCTTTTGGGCGATTAGCAGCGATTTGACAAAGATAGGAGTCTTTTTTCTATAAAATTTTTCGGTCAGAAGCTCCTGAGCCCGTTTTCTCAAAACTTCATATTTGCACTTACTGTTCTCTTTGCTATCATGGCAGACTTTGTCGGATAGTCATGTCCGAGGGATGGAATTAAGGGCTCAGCGAGCAGACAAAAAGCGTATTTTCGCGTCCAAAATAATAAACCAATTCCATGAAATGTGTGAACTGAAAATATGCGTTCTATTATTACGTAATCTACCTGAGGGTAGGGGAGCGGAGTTAAATCTGCAATGAAGTGCGTCAAGAGGTGGAGAATAGGACTGAAGTCCAGTATTAGATAACCATCAAAATTTGATCCTTAATTTTTTAGGGAAAAGAAACTTTTCTGAAACTGATGGATAGGCAGTACTCTTGTGGATAATCACTGAAAAAATGATAAATGGAGGTATTTTCCGTTGAAACAGTACGCAAGATCCATCTTAAAGCTTCGTATTTGAACGTATTTATGCTAAAAGGAACTATGTTACACGCAACCCCTATGCACATAGTTCTTTTTAGCATTAATACGTCCATTTGAACTTACTGCTCTTTTTAGTAACACGGTAGCATTTCGTCGTCTCCCCAGTGGGTGAAGGTACCTTCATTCCAAGGTTGCAAAATATACTCCAGCAATTTAATTTTTCCCGAGAATATTGCGGTATAATTTTTGTCCAACATTTTATTGACTTTTGGGTGTTGTCGGAGGATAAATTTGTGAAGTTTTCCGTTAGAAATGCTCAATAGTTTTCTAATTAAGAAATAATTTTCGAGTGAAAATTTTGCAAATTAGAAGAGCAGTTACGTCACTGAAAAAAAATTCTCGGCGTTTTTAGCAAGGTCCGTTGGTACCTTTACCATCTCACTTGTTTTACCAATTATTGGTAATTTTACCAAGACAGACTTGTAAGCTTACCTAAAAACCGGTATTTTTACTGTTTTTTTCAGGTAAGAATACTACTTTTATTGTTAATCAATTCCCGGTAACTTGGCCATTTTACCTCGGTAATTCCACCACAGTTGATAAAACATATTGGCGTTTTTAGCGGGGTCCAGTAAAATTACCGAGAAAGTCAATAATTTTACCGAGATTTCTTGGTAAAATTACCGATTCCGTAAGTGGTAATTTTACCAAGAAAGAACTGGGATTAAATAAAACCCGGAATTCTTGGTAATTTTACCCTTTTCTTAGTAAATACTCCGAGATTTTTTTTTCAGTGGTTCTTCCGGGAAACGACGAATGTTGTGCACAGCGTGTACACAGACACAACCCTCTACTCAGAGTCTAATTTTTTATAATGTCCTTTTGGAGACACTAACCAAGAGGGCATGGCTGAGAATTTGCCATAGAAAGACGGATGATCTACAAGTCCATCTTCAACATGTTGGTACAGGGTGTCTGCATAGAAGCTGTTATCATTTGAAAAGATATTCGGCTGACATTGAGGTTTAAGTCCGGGAGCGGAGGGTGTAATGCAAAGATTATTGAAGTTGCGTGTGTTGCGAGCCAATTGGTGCATTTGCTGTCTCGAACTTTGGTACTCTGCGCACCGCCACTGCGCGTTCGCCATCGCTTCAAAAAGGAGAGAAAGCACCGATGACTCTGATAGAGAAACATTCCAAAATTGGGACACGTGTTGATGAAACAAGATATTTATGATGTACGTTACAAACATCTATAGCTTCATAACCCAACAAATTGAAAACATTCCAAAATTCAACTCGACCACTGAAATTGAGTGTGGGTAGTCCATAATATTAATTTTTTTTTTTCAGGCTCAGGTCGTTTTTATGCTTAACGTACCTGTGTTTTAAATTGTAGGACTTTCCACGTGCAAAAGTACATGGAAAATATCATCGAAATTTTCAGAACAGTGGAATTTCTTTTGGCATCTGAGAATAGAAATTGTCGACCGTAATGCATAGCAAATTTGTTCAAAAAACGAATGGTTCGAGAGTAGGATTCCTATGGATAAAAACCAAGAACTCGAGTAAAAAAAGGCCATAAATTGATCATTTTAAAAAACAAAAAAACAATGTTTTGAGCCGTCATCGACTCCATTGCCAGTTGCAAAAGTCAAATAAATACTTAAAAGTTCTCGCCTCGCAACGTTGTCCTTAGCACTGCGTATTATGGTGGAATAAAACTTCTAACCTTTTTTTTCTATAGATTCACACTTGGTGCAACTTGGTGCGTTTCGGTTAGAAACCGTCAACATTTTTCTCCATAAGACTCTTCTTCCTCATTAAGAATATTCTCCACTATTTAGAGCCAGGTTAATTCCTCTTTATATGTAATTTTCCCAGAATTACCGCTTACAGTGTAGTGCAAATGGTTAGCACCGAGGCTATCCAGCAGGCTGATAACTCACATTTCGTTTCCTCCCATAAACCACGAAGAGACTTTTTGCTGCATGAATTCGGTCGCTTGCGTGTTGTGCCGAAGGATTTATTTAGAGTACCCTCATGGAGAGAGTATGACACCCTGAAGGGTCAACTTCTATGAGCTTGGGCATCTTCAGCCATCGTGCTGCTGGGCTAAGGAAACACGCCGTATGAATATTCGAGAGATGCCAAATTCCCCCATATAAAACATTTTCTTATTAGGAAAGTTATGCATATTATTCTTTGAAATTTTCTGATATTTTAGATAAAATTTCGAGCAAGATTGTCTGAAAAATTTGAAAAAAAAATATTCACAATTTTCCAAGTAAACCCGTTTTATTTTGAGGCCAATATGGCAACGCCATATGGCTCATACGGCGTTTTTTCTCAGCGGACAATGCATACAGATTATTCAAAATTGCAGATAATGCAGTTGTATGCGCTTGAATTATAGTGGACTTCCCTGAAATTATATAAGTACGAGTATTTTCTTAGTTTCGAAATTTTTGTATCATCACATTCGAAAAAATCTT